ATGATGGGTAAAAATGTCCTTAAACACATTGCAGGGTGTAATGTAATGTGATTGCATTAGTTTTGGACTGCAATCACATTACATCCGTTGACTGCAATGTGATTACATTGCAATCTTACATTACAGTGTTTTGTTACAAAACAAACACTGTAATGTAATTTAATAAGCCACATTGCAGGTAATGTACTTTACATCCTTCATACCAAACTGCTCCTTAGAGTAACAGCTTTAGAAGTCTCGCAATCAAGAAATAACGATTACAGGTGGCATTGAGGCTGCATTTTTATGAAAATGATTTTCTGGTCAAAGCTTTATTTTTTTTTTATCTAAATTAGTCATATGCCTGTGCAAATTGCATGTTTTTCCTTCATAATTTAAAATAGTTTTAATTTTAATTTATAAAGAATCAAAGTTTTAGCTATAGTAATAATAATATCATTTAAGTTGAATGATTCAAAAAGCTCATAAATTTTAATGTTATTTCCATATTATTGTGGCTCCACTTTTCAATTTCTTTAAATGAATTTCAATTTTGACTCCTTCGTATATTTCTTATAAACTCATTCACTGAAATTTATCCAAAAAATGTAATCATTATTTGAAGACATAGAATAGTAATATTCATGAGTCAAGCTTACTAGACCTCCAAATTTTAAAGCTAAACTCAAGTCCAAGTGGACTCGCCTATTTATGTGATATTCTATTATTAAAATGTAAAAATGTATATATTTTATATTAATAATTTAATATTTTAAATAAATTTTAAAGTTAAAATTTATAATAAGAATATATTATTAATTAAGTAATAATGTATTCGGGTTGGGTTAGGCCATGCCGAACCCTAATCTTGGGCTGAGCCTACAAGTAGACAACGACCCTATCCTTGGACACCTCTAATGTAGAGAATTACAGATGGAATCATTTGTCCTCCCTTTCTTGCTCTTGATCAATGTCGGGGAATAAAAAAAAACTATTGTTATTTCTTGAAATGATCTGGTCCACTTTATTTATCCATGAACAATGTGGTAAAAATAACCTATTGCTTGAATTACACATACGAATTTTACAAAATTTTGATTGATTAATATAAATAAATAGTATATAATAATAATAATAATAATTCTTGACGAAATAAAATTTTTATTCATTAAAAGTAGAATTATAACCAAATCACCCATAAGAAACAGGAGATAAATATTCCATAACTCAGCCACAATAAACCACCATCACATAAAGAACAAGTCAGGTGTAACCACTACAAGTTTTGTTAATGAATCTGTAAATAAGAAAATTTCTGTAAAGATATGAAAAAACTCAAACATAGTAATATAATTTCTTAATCTATCAATCTTATTCTCATTTATCCCATGATCTAGAATTGTCTTTGCACACCCAAGACAAAACTATTTTAGAGTTTGACAAAGCTACTATATACATATATATGTATATATGCAACTGAGTTCCTACAGACATGCATCAAATTAAGACCTTAGATTGAACAATATTTTACAAGATGAAAAGTAGCATAGTTTTGCTCTATGGTGCGCGCTTCGCTTCATCAGCATGGTTATATATGCAGAATTTTAAAAAGATAGGGCAGCTTAATCTTGTCGAACAACCACATTTCCTTCTCTTATTGCTTAAGAAGGTAAGCATCCACAGACTTGCTAACAGCAGAGGCAAACTCTATGTACTTCTCAGGATCAGGGATATTCTGGTTCTGCTTTTCGTACATCAAAGTCCATTTCACCAAGCTTCCTTGACCATTAGCCGTGACAGTAACAATAGCCTTGAAGGTCTTGTAATATTTCGTGATATCACCATCCAGTGCGTTGAAAGTGATTGACTTGTTTCGATCATCAATAGCCTCTATGGTCTCCGAGGCATTCTCAGAAAGTCCTGTAAGACCAGCAGCCGAGCCCAAGATCATCAGCTAAGGGCTGATTGATGAGTTAGTTCAAATAGATTATCAAAAATGGAGATTTGAGTCAAGGTGCTTAATTAATAACAAATACGTCATAACATCTAGAATGAAATATATATATATATATATATATATATATATATATATATTATAGGTTTACCAGCAACATATTTCCATATCCTGACTGAGCCCACGGTCTCCCAGTCACCCTTGACAACTTTGGCGTCTGTCACCAGTTCAGGGCAGATTTTCGGCAAGAGGTACATTTTGCGCTTGAAGATATCGTAGACCTTTTCAGCAGAGGACTGAATCTCTAATTGGACCTCAAGTTTTACAAGTTGAGCCATTTTTTTCGTCTGCTCAAGTATGAGAAACTAGAAAATTGGAGGATAGGTGAGCAATAATCTACACCATAACAGCCTTATATAGAGGAGAGAGGATCAAATGAGAGATTCTTCCATGCCTATGGTTATTACACAATTAATTTGCAACCATTGGCGTCACTACTCACCAAAGCTAATGGATTGGATTCTCCCAGTGGTCCCCGAAGCCAACTTACTACAAAAGGGTATAAGGTTGAATGACCATTATCAAATGCGTTTAAAAATCTTGCTAAATTGAGCCGAATAATATCAGAATTGAACAAAAACTTGATCAATTCTTGTCACTTTCATGTTACTGTCAAGTTCGATAAGAATCTTCACGTTACCGTCAAGCTTGATAAATTCTTATAGTATTCATGTTCAGTTGTTAGTTGTTTTTCTTTTTTTGACATTTTTTTTATTTTAAATTAATATATCTACATTGTATTTTTCATATCAAAATTTATCAATTTTGATAATTTTTTTGTATAATATCATATGAAATTAAATTTTTAAAAAATAAGAACTATAAATTTAGAATTTAGAATTTTTCAAAATCTTTTTTTTTTTGGAAATTTTAATTACCAATAAGAGTATACTGAATAATGATCCGAATTATTTATCTTTGATCGAGAATAAGTGAAAATGAACATTTAAAAATTATGATATAACTAAATTTACAGTTTTAACCATTTTTTATCTCATAAAATCAATAGCTGACATTAAAACAACATTCTTAATCAATTGTGTCACTCTTTCTCTTTCTAATTTCTTTATCAAATCAACCTGCTGATTGCAACAGGTAGCTGACCTTCTTTTCCAATGCTTAGCTATATTAATGTCATCTCATAACACCATCTTCTTTCTTCTCTTTCTTTGCTTTTCATTTCTAACAATTTGTAATGTTTTTGGTTATTTACTAACCAATTTGTGGTTTTCCACTAAATAGGATTCCAATGCCAAGAAACTAAACAAAATCCAATACAAAAAACTTTGTTTTATACAAATTAGACAATAGGCATGTAAGGAAGGACTGTATTTTATTTACTCATGGGAAAAATTGATGAGAGAGTACGAAAACCAAATTTTGTTCATCAAAAGACTTGATTTTTAGACTAGATTTTGCTCATCATTGGGGTCATAGGATTTGAGACACAAAGGACCTACTACATTCTAAGCTCCATAATCAACTCTGGAAGAAAGGGGAATTGAAAAGAGTTCTGAGAGGAGAAATATGGTAAGCAAAAGAGGAAGACAATTAAAAGGAAGCAAAAATAGGGAAAAAAAAATACCCCGTTATATATAAAAGGGGAGCAAAAACACGATTGATTCAATGCCTAATTGTATTAAATAAATATAATTAATTTTACAATTACAAAAAATAATCATTATTGTTCTAAGAAGTATAAGCAAATAGCAGATAAGAACTAGCAAAAACAATAACTGAGCTAAGCCTTCAAAAATTTAAAACCCTCCCTTTCTTAATTTTGGGAAAATTAGCCAACTACCAGAAATTATTTTTTAGTTTTTTGAGAAATAAAAAGAAAAGACTTCCCATATTTTAAAATCTTGTTATGCAAGTAACTTCATTAAATATGATTTAGTATGAGAATAGAGACCAAAAAGAAAAAGAAAATATTTTTTAAAATTAAGCGATTCTAAATCTTTATATATATATAGATAAATATAGATATATATAGTTAATATATATATACATTAGACAATAAGCCCTTCAGGCCTCAAATAGCTAACACTAGGCCCAATTGAATGCTTATACAATTACATCACATTAATATCAGGAGAAACCTTCTTTCGTGAGAAAAAAGGATACAAAGACAAGATGCGGCTTACTTCTTGAAAGGCTTCGGGAAATCCCTGCTGGAACTAATGATGATTGGGGAGGCCGAAAAGCCCTTTTGCTTTTCTGGAACTATTAGATTTTCAACTTTTCTATTTCTCTTCTTCACAAGACTTACCAGGGAATGATGATCCAAATATCTGCACTGTTAAGCTTCCACCTACACACAAAAATAATGATATAATTAAAGTAATGAACATTGTGCACTATGTGCATGTTTGATCTGACTTTTTCAATTTATATACTTCTTAAAAGTAAAAATTAAGTTAAATAAGAATTTAGAGAAAACTCTTTAAAAAATAACTTTTTTTCAAAAAATAAAATTTTAAAAAAAATAACTTAAAGAAAAGCTCCAAAAAGAGCTTTTTTTTTTTCCCTTTTTCCAAAAATCCACCCGTTTTTCAGAAAATGCACATCTCTCAATCAATCTCCCTCTCCTCTTTTCTTTTTTGTAAATCAGCCTTCTCCAACGCAAAATCACGTTCTCCCTTTTCTTTCTTTCTACAAAGACTACTAATATAAAAAATCAAGCAACAAATAGCAAAATCTAAGATTTTTTGTCCAACCACTATAATCAAGTAAATAAAAATGCAAAGACTCAGGAAAAGCAAGTTTGATTTCAGAAGTGAAATCGTTTGGTAAAGTTGAGGGAAAGGATTCTGTAGAGAACATGTCAAAATTTCAGCAAGCATTCATCACTTGATTCAATCTAAACTCAGATGAACGATCATCAAGAATTTAAGGGATTCCAGTCTAGGCTGCTTTGCAACCCTGGCTTGTTAGCTTTGGTTGACTGAATATATGGTGAACCTCAATTCCTACCAAATAAAACAAAAAGTTTTACTTTGGTCTTTGGTTTGATATATGGAGCAAAGCAAAGGTCTAACAAAGTTAAGCCTTTAGCAAACAAAAAAAAAAGAAGTTTCACCTGACTAAACGTAGGAAGGCAAGTTAACAAGAATAGTCAGTCAATCTAAATCCAATTAGCTTAAGCCTGACTAAACTTTTAGGTTGAAAGACTTGGGAGTTCAAGCTTATCTTCGTTGAAATTTAAACTTCTATTTATATTAGGCTGAAGACTCTTCTCAAGTTTTGCCACGTGTATCCCTCAAGTGCTCGTCACTCCTTCACTATCATGAACTTTTTGCATGGGAGTTAGTAACGGCTCATGATATCGTGATATTTGGAGATTGCAAAGATAAGAGAGAAACACAAGTAAGTTAGCTTGTCTAGCATCTAGATACTGTTATCACTTTAGAGCTTGAAGTTTTCAAGTTTAGCTTTCCTACCTTGCCTTAGGTTTTATTAAGTCTTTCCCTAGGCCATGAATTCAGCCTAAACTTCTATGGCCTGCTTTGCGTTGTGATACTTGACCTTGTAAAGCATTACCAAATCAAAATGTTTATTTAAGTCGAGAATCTCAAGCGTACATACTTGTGTATTCAGCAAGATTTAGGTTATCAAGCCTTGGCACCATGTAAGTTTTAAGACTTAGGCTGTCAAGTTTGGCAACGGGCAAGCTTCAAGACTTAGTTGTCAAGCAGGGCAACATGCAAGCTTAGACTATCAAGCTTGCCTAGCTGTATATTCAATGTACATTGAGGACAGGGCAAAAGTTATTTTCTCCTTTGTTTGATTAAGGTTTGACTTAATGGTCTTTATACTTGACAATGTTACCAAACACCAAATGAAGCTTACTATAATATAACCTTATATAGATATTATAAAAGTAACTTGTAAAAAGGTGCCTTTTTTTCGTCCTTTAACCCTATTTACTTGTACTACTTTTGTAAAGACTGTCTCTAATCGAGATAAACTTTGGAGTGTCAATACTTTAGAATTGGTATAAAATGCTTCTCATAATTGCTCTTATGCTTCTTGGAGCTTTTATAAGGTCCTTCAGAAGTAAGCCAATTGAGCCTTTTCTAATAAATTCCATTGTAGTGTATTTTCCTCTTTCAGCTTTCTAAACTCCCTAAATACCCTTTTTCTTGGTCTTTAATCTTCACAGTCATAATTAGATGTTCTTACAATAATAATTAACGAGTTATTATGCTTTGTAGTTGCCATAACAAGGAATCCTCTACATCAGAACACTGATAGTTTAATCATATACCAATGACCCCTACGAGGAAAGCTAATCACATTTTCCGAGCGAGCAGGCTGAGTTTGACAGGCTTTGCCAAGAAGGCTGGCTAATATTCGGTGTTAGCTAGCATGTCGTGGCCTTTGATTATCCCCATCCCCTAAGTCACAAAATGTATTAATCTTCATGTACCTATAAAAGCTTGTCAGTCTGTTTGACCTATTGTACCTAAAATCTTTCTTAAAATTGAACTTTGGTGAGTAACAAGCCACTCTACTGTTACAGTTTATACTTCAACCAAACTTGGTACTTGTCTCTGTCATGTTTGGTAATTTTTGACAACTTCCAATAGATTTTACTCGCACAAGATAAACAAAAATATAAGATTACGTGAAAACCATCGATCAGAATTAAATTTCAAGTTTGAGCAAAAACGAAGATTTCAAAAATCCATGAGAAACAATGACGTTATCATGCATATAGCTAGCTTACAGCCGTAATTGAACTCCCAAAAGACAATTATCCTCTTTTATTAATTCTTGTAATTTACTGTATCTGGCTTAATTAAGTTCGTGCATAACCTGACGGAAAACATCTATCATAAATCATAAATCCTAAACGAATATAAAAGCAAATGTTAATGTTTTTTCAACGGAAAGAACTGAAAAACAAATATAAACCATCCCGGGCATAGCCTCTGCTTGATAGGAGATAAGTCGGAGGAGGGAAGGAGGTGGGTTAAAAAAGGGGAAAAATTAACAATTAACTTATGCTAGGTAGGAGAGAAAAGTAAAGAGGAAATAAAATAAGAGAGGGTTCTCATTTTCTATCCATATAGACAAAAATCAATCATTTCATTATGGAAAGATAGGGGAGACAAAATGGTAGAGACGTTAGTTTACTGATGCAAAAATACTATTTTTTATCAATGTTTTTCTCTTTTCATCCTTCCAAGCGAGCACACTAGAGGAAAGAAAAAAAAATATAATTTCCACTTTATTTTCACTAGATATTCCATCTTTCTATTTTTCCAGCCTTTGC